TGATTTGATCTTTGAAAGCAAAGTTCAAAGCCTAAAAGCAGAAAAAAGATTTTTCTTTTGCCAAAATATTTATTATATGCAAAAACACAAACTTGGGTGGGAAAATATCGAATGCAGTTTGCTAAGTTGCCCCGCCAGAATGCCATTCCACCTTCACTTCGGAAGGTTCGCATAGTACAATCGACGACACCGTTGTATGGTTTGGTAATTAAACCTTGTTTAAGCATCTCACCTTGATTTTGAACAAGCAATTTTACACGTTCAATAGGTGCAGCTGCTGTTTTTGAAACAACAGCAGCAACACCACTGAGTGCAAAATTTTCGATGAAGCTTAATTTTGGTTTTTCTTTCTAAATAAATTATTATATTGATAGATTTTTAGAAAATATTTAATAGAATATCTATTTACCACTGCTGCCATTGTGCTTTAATATAACGTGAATCTAGAAAAAAAAACAGGATATTTGAACTTTAGACTTCTGTATATTTATTGGTAAAATGTTCTGTTTTATAACACGCAAAAGAAAAATGGGTTGCTCTTTCTTTTTACCTGTTATTCTCTTATGTGTGTTTTGTGGTTGCTTTTGCGTTCGTAAAGCGCAGCAAAGTGTCGTGTTCGGCAAGAGTACAATAACAATACACCCAAAATGGCTAGCGAAAACAAACCTCCGCAAGTATGTTTTATCTCCGACACTCAATTTGTCTCGTTGATCTTTGTTTTCGAGCTTATTGAAGTCATTAATGCACTTGGAATAAAATGACATCTATCAATTCTTCCGATTGGTTTGTTGATAATATTCAATCAAATGAATGTTGTCATAGAGATAGATTCGGTGCTAAAATAAAAATGATTTTGTTCACATGTTCAATTATGCAACGATTAAACATCTTCTTTTACTCTATTCAGGTATGTATTTTATTAGAAAGATAATTAATTATATTGATCATCTATAGATATATTTGAAGATCGTTCCAATTCATCATTCTCGTTTCCATTACTTTATTTCTATTCACGAATATCAAATATGGTAAACACAAAATTGATTGATTTTGCTAGCTTATATCAATTCATCTTTTGTTTCGTTTATTCAAATTCAAATGATATATATATATATATAGCTAGTTAAATTTGATAGAATATTGGTGCATGGCCTTTAGAAAAAGAAGAATTAACAAATTCTCATGTTCAATATCGAGAAACGGGATCAAAAGAGAATGCGCAACTTTTTTGGACAAAATCTTTTCTACAAACAAGTCCATATGATAATAAACGTTACCGTCAAATTGCTTCTCATGCATGTGAACGTATTGTTCGTAAGTTATTTTGAAGTATTACAAAGAAACAAAACTATAGACATAATTTTTATTTCTTTTCATCTAGAAGAAGAATGTAAACCATCGTCATCTAAATCAACGTATGAATTTATTAATGAGAAAAAAAACACAAAATAATTTTTTTGAATAGTCTCTATCGTCCATCTAGTATTATAGCTGTTAGTTTAAGTGAAACAAGTACAAGACAGTCTAGTTCAAATAATCATTTAACACCTCAGACAATTACTTTACCAATAAGTTCATCAAAAAAATCTTCTCATACACGATTTTCATGCTATTTAAAATCTCATAATACAAAAATTCAATCAAAACAAATCAAAAAAAAATTACCAACAACAATTGTATCGAAAAATAATAATTATTATCATGATAAAAACAAATCTTTCATTTCCAATAAGAATATTATTAAATTAAAAAATGAACATCGAGAAAACATGTGTCAGAAATGTTTAAAAATCATTCAAACAAATTCCAAATATATCTCATCAAATAATCTTTGTGAAAAATGTCTTTATTTCATTCGAAATTCAAATAATATCATATCAATAAAAAAAAATATTTTAAATAAAACTGAAGAAAATGAATTACGAAAAATAATTGAAGTAGTTATTGAAGAATTTCAAGATCAATTTGGTCAAGCATTAAATTTATCTATTAAACAAATGACACAACATTTACTTTCGAATATTAATCTTTTCTATAATCATTATCAACAAGAATTTGAACAATTAACAAAAAAATATCGTTTAACTTTTCTTCAACGTTTTATAGAACTAATGAATAAGTTTCAAACAAATCAAAAAATGAAATCATCAATTTTGGATCGAGTAATTCTATTATAGATAATTAAAATAGTACTTTCTTTCTATAGAATTCTATCACACATCCACCTGATATATTATCAATGTCATCATTAAATAGTTCATTAACGACAGAAAAAGATCGATCTGAAACTATTGCACATTTAACTACACCGTCAGATTCAATATCATTATCAACAACATCAAATCGTTCTATTATTATTGATAAAAAAAATCATTCAAATAATAATCAAAAACAAAAACAACTTTCACTTCAACATAGTTCATCGAAAAAGACATTTACAATAAATGGAAATATGCAAAGACAATCTTTCAGTATGATTGTTCTTTGTAAAAAGATAATTATGTCATGTATAGATGTTTAATAGATAAATTTAAAAAATCAACATCGTCATCACTTCAATTAATTGATGCGTATCGTTTTCGTGATACATTACGAATGAACAATACACATTTCTCATCTCCTCGTCCAAAAATTCGAGCAAATATACATTAAATAGATCTATATATTTTTCTTTCGGGACATTATATAAATATACATATATAGTTATGTTGATATCTGATTAAGAATAGAATATGAATAATATAGATATGATATTGTAATTATGAAATTTAAGAAACATCAACGAATGTATATTATTCATTGAAGAATAGATCTATTTTCGATTATGTCCAATAAAGTAATATTTATGGACACCAGTAAATAGATAATAAACGATCAAAATAGTTATTTTGATATACATAGCTAAGAATACTTCGTGATAGATAAGTGAGGTTGAAAGGGTCTTGTAATCTATCAACATGTGATAATACATCGAGCATAATTGTATATATCATAACAAAAACAGCTGATCTAGAATGAATAAGATAACAGCGGGTGAAAGTGAAACGTGTACAACGGTTTCAGCTGGATGTTATTGATATTTATATATTTACTTGTTGAGCGTGTACCTATTGCCTCGATACTTGCTCACAATATAATCCTAGAGTGAGAATAAAGATCAGACCGATAACGTAAGGAGAGGTGATTATTCAGATTGTAGTTCTTTTGAAGTTCTAAAAATAGTTCAAATGAGTCTTATATTTTTAGAATTATTTTGTACTTAAAGATCATGCTTTTTTTATGATAGAGTTGTTTGTCTACAGAAAACAATGGGTACTAATTCAAATTCTTTATAAATTCTTTTATAAACACATATCATAATAATCTAATAATAGTAATTATATCATTTCATCAATTTTATGTGTGTTATCAATTGATTTACGAGCTAATCATATGAAAGTAGCATCTGTTCAAATTCAACTCATCGCATCTATCATGATTATTTTATCTCCGAGCAAATATAGATTTATTATTATCTATATAATATGAGAACATTTTGCCTTCTTCAATAAATTTCAATCAAAAACTGTATTGTCGCCCCATCTGACATATTATCTACTAATTTTTGCTGAAAAACAATATTTGAAATAGGATGTACCCGTCACTGGTATGAGTTGAACAAGTAATACACTAAACATAAATTATATATCAATCAAATTGAATACTCTTCGTCTAGTTGTATAATATCTTGTCTAAGATACATGCAACTCGAATTTTTGATAACTATTGTTATATCAAATGACAATAGATAGTGAAATATAATATAGACAAATTCATGTGATCAATCATTTACATTTATTTATTGTCTAGTTATTCATTACAAAATTCGAAAAATTTCTTTCTCCATCAATTTCAAGATAATATAGAGTCATATACATTACCTCTTGCTACGAATATGTCAGTATATATATGTTTTTCAAACATTTTTGCATGTATTCATTAATGACTCATCATGATACAAAATGATGTCATCACGCATGTTAACTATTCAAATCGAAAACAAAACTTGTTATTTGATATTCGTCAATCTATTCACGTGTACTACTTGTATAGAACATGTTGAAATGAAAGAAATGTAATATATCCATGATTTTATTAATGATAAGCTGTTATTTTTGTTATATGAATAAAGGAATTCACGTAACTTGATATTGATTAATTCATCATCACATGAATGGACTTGAACAATAGTCTTTAAACAACTTAATCTACGAATATTAATTAATAACTAGAAAATTTATATATGTAAATTTTATTTTCTTTTCCATAATTACAACCGTAAACTTTGAATGAATAAAGAAAAAATAAAATCGAGAAATTTACAAGCCGAAAAAACACATACGTATAGGAAAAAACGTAAAATAAAAGGAAACAACGATAAAGAAGGAAAAAGAAAACCATTCACCGAACTGACAAAATTGTAAAACAAACCAACTGCGCATATAATTACTTCCACCGGCCAAAATAACGCATATATGTATATAGGAATAAAATATAATTTATAAAAAAATATAAGTATATAGATATATATAGATCTCTGTTCGAATTGTACACATATACACACATTCATATACAGAAAAAAAGAGCAAATAACAAGATAACATCCATGTATTTTTAATTTTGTTTTCTCCAGTATATATATATATATAGTTTTAGTTAAAAATATACAAGCACAACTTAGTTGCCAAAATTAATAATAGAAAGAAGAAAAGCAAAGAAAATGTTTTTTTTATTGTTATGGACACGAAACTTTTAAGTTTAAATTACAAA